AGAGAGAGAGAGAGAGAGAGAGAGAGATAGATAGATAGATAGATAGAGAGAGAGAGAGAGAGCTGGGGGGGGGGGGGGGAGAAAGTGCAAGTCTCTTAACGCAGCCTGACAACACGAGCCCCTTTCTTTCGCAAGTACCGAGTGATCCCAGCATGGAAATAAGAGAAAAGCGAGTCGATTCAACACACGGAGACTAACACAATCACAAACACAACACGGATGGCTAAGTGGCTTATGATGCAGCCGACGGGACGGCAACTCAACCACGACTCCAAAGTTATAAAGGAAGTTGGTAATTAGCACAGAGCTCGAGGGACTGCCGGGAAGACCTTGCTGGCCTCCCTCCCTCTCTCCCTCCTTCTCCCTCGCCTTCCCTCCCTCTCTCCTCCTTCTCCCTCGCCTTCCCTCCCTCTCTCCCTCCTCTCCCTCGCCTCGCCTTCCCTCCCTCTCTCCCTCCTTCTCCCTCGCCTTCCCTCCCTCTCTCCCTCCTTCTCCCTCGCCTTCCCTCCCTCTCTCCCTCCTTCTCCCTCCCTCTCTCTCTCCTCCTTCTCCCTCGCCTTCCCTCCCTCTCTCCCTCCTTCTCCCTCGCCTTCCCTCCCTCTCTCCCTCCTTCTCCCTCGCCTTCCCTCCCTCTCTCCCTCCTTCTCCCTCGCCTTCCCTCCCTCTCTCCCTCCTTCTCCCTCGCCTTCCCTCCCTCTCTCCCTTCTCCCTCGCCCTCCCTTCCTTTCTCCCTCGTCCTCCATTGCCCTTCCTCCCTCGTTCTCTCTCGTCCTTAGTCCCTCTCCCTCGTCCTCCCTTTCTCCCATCTCTCGCCATCTCTACCTTTCCCTCTCTCTTTCTCACTCTCTCTAACCCCCTTTCTCTCGCGCTCCTTAGATTCTCTCTCCCGTTGTTTGTCTCATATACCTTTATCTTTCTCTCTCGCCCTCTCTCTCTCTCTCTGTGTGTGTGTGTGTGTGTGTGTGTGTGTGTGTGTGTGTGTGTGTGTGTGTGTGTGTGTGTGTGTGTGTGTGTGTGTGTGTGTGTGTGCGTGTGTGTGTGTGTGTGTGTGTGTGTGCGTGTGTGTGTGTGTTCTCTCTATTCCCCTCTCTGTTTATCTTTCGCCCTGTATCTCGCTCTTTTGATCTCTATCTTTCACTCACGCAATTTCTATCTAGCTATCGGTAATTTCTACATTCAGTCTTATTCTTATATCTTTTGAACAGATCGGGTATGGATATATCAACTCCCCCTTCTCTCTTTATCTTCATCTCTCTCTCTATATATATATCTATCATTTGTGTCTTTCTTTCTCTCATTTTCTCTCTTTCTTTTTTCTTTCTACTTTCTCTTTCTTCCCTTCCCTTTCTTCCCTCTCTCTCTCTCTCTCTCTCTCTCTCTCTCTCTCTCTCTCTATCTCTCTCTCTCTCTCTCTCTCTCTCTCTCTCTATCTCTCTCTCTCTCTCTCTCTCTCTCTCTCTCTCCCCCCCTCTCTCTCTCCCTCTAATGGCCCCGTAACCGATCTCTGTCGAGTGAAAACCATTGTCTGGAAGTGCACAGACGTTTAATGGGTTTAAGTCAGAGATCGCGAAGTCTTTGAGGATGAGCACAAGTTGGCGACCGAGGCGAAGGAGGAGTTGTGTGAGGGCTGGAGGTACGTGAGCCTTAGGGAGTGTGGGCGTGATGGGATGTGGGCGTAGGGAGTGTGAGTGTAAAGGGTGTGGGTAATGTGTGTGTGGGCGTAGGGAGTGTGAGTGTGGTTAAGGAGGTGTGTGTGGGCGTGCTGAGAAGTGGGCGTAGGGAGTGTGAGTGTAAGGCGTGTGGGTAAGGTGTGTGTGGGCGTAGGGAGTATAAGTGCATTGGTGTGTGTGGGCGTCATAGGTTGTGGGGTTGATGGTGTGTGTGTGGGGGGGATGAAAGAGGCGTGGACATAAGGAGTCTGTGAGCACAGGTGCTATAACCGTAAGGATTGTGTGGGCGTCGTGGGTTCATTCAGGGGGCGTGGAAGTGGAGAGGAAAAGGGAGAAGAGCATGTGGGCGTGCCAGGGGGAGTCCTGAGGAAGATGGGCGTGGGATGGCGAGAGTGCAGAGTGGGCGGAGAAGATGCAGTTTCCGAGTCGAGGCGCCCGAGATTGTATGGCGGGCGGCGGAGTTTGTTCAGGGACTTTGTTCAATTTAACATTACATGAACGATGGGGAAGAAGTAGAGAGTATAATCAAGTCATCTAATATTCATGAGAGAACTGGAACTTTAGTTGGGCGAAAAATCTAATTTTGTGAACGTGGATGGGAGGCGCACGACTTCCAGCTCCGGTATTATGTTGATAGAAAAATGTATTTCATTTGTTCCCTCAAGTTTTGTATGCGCGCGCATACATATATATACATCCATGGTTAAGTGTGTATATATACATAGACATATACATGTATATACATATATATACATATATGTATAAATGTAAAAATATATAAACATACAGATATATACATATATATTTATATATACATATATACACACATA